CCCGTCCCTGGAGCTTCATTGGCGGGCTTACGGTGATGACGTCATAAGGCCATCCAATTACAGTCCTCATCCGGTGGGGCGTGTCAGCCAGTATGAGTGTGCACACTGTTGAAGCCGTTCTCAGCCTTTTTGCTGAAACGCGTATGCGACAAAAAGTGGTAGAAAACGAGTAATACGAAGGATATAATACAGTAATGTCACTTGCCCGCTTCAACAACTGGTGCAGAACGACTTTGGCCCGCGCCAAACGCAGCCGCACTGAACCGCCCCGACAGTACGTAATGATGAGGACTGTACAATACTTCAGGATAAAAGGGCAACATGGATAGACATGGGCATCATGGGCCCAAGCAGAAAGCTTCGGTAGCTGCTGAAAATGTTGACAACAGGCTACCAAAAAGATCAAAATAAATTTGGAAGAGCAATTTTGAGAGGACATCATTCCATTCCGGACTACGCACAGTGAACTAGTTACTGATCGGATCATAGCGTATGATGAAAAGTGGATTTTGCTGTGGAACCTGCAACAGTCGAAAATGTCCCAAGATAATCCCTCGCCGCATTGTCATGAGAACCGCTCATCACGGTCTTTTGATGAGCTACGGCGCTTCGGTCAAGGTGTGGGACGTGACATCGATGTTCTAGCAAAAGTGGCAAATGCTCTCATGGTGTCTCTGGTCAAAAATGTTGCTCCGAGACTCAGTCGATGCAACGTGAAAGGGCCACCAGGTGGCATATGGTGTGGTTTTATGGTGGTGTTCCTATTCTGCGCCATTGGAGAATCGGGGACCCTGTGAAGAGATAAATTCATGAATTCATCTGAAGGGTCCGAGAAACCACCGTGGCGACTACCCAACATGTTTCACTCCACCCATGTGATTTTTGTTACGTAGGCGCGATCAGCCATAAGCTGGGATGAACCATTAGGAGGCTGACATTCTTTCACGCGCGGGGCTCTTGCGGCCTCGCCTACTCTGAGACGGGGCGCAAGGAAAGTGGCCCTATGCTAGTTTCTTTCGCGAAAGCTAATAGTTTTCTGGTGGTGACCAGGAAAAATAGAGACAAAATTCTACAGCCGGCTGCGCTTGCAGCTAAGTCCATGGGCACTCCCTTTCCAGCGCCGAGATATGAGCAATACTCTAAGGCTGCCAGCGCCGAGATATGAGCAGCACTCTAGGCTGTGCGTTTATACTTTGCGCGCAGCGTAGCGTAGCGCTTCCAGCGTACGCCAGCGGCAGTGCCGGGGAGAGGATGCATATCGATCTAGCGTTCCCAGCGTCACCAGCGTAACGCTAGCGTACGCTAGCGTTACGCCAGCGTTTCACCAGCGTTTTGCTAGCGTTTGCAGCGGCAGGGAGTAGAGACTATGGGAGAGCTGGAGGGTACAAAGGCACATTGACTGCGCGTCTCTCTCGCCTCCAGTCTCTAAATACACATCGATTGCGCGTCTCTGACTGCCACATAGTCTCTACTCCTCTGCCGCTGCAAACGCCAGCTTGACGCTGGTGACGCTGGGAACGCTAGATCGATATCCATCCTCTCCCCGGCACTGCCGCTGGCGTACGCTGGAAGCGCTACGCTACGCTTGCCGCAAAGTATTAGGTTGTTCGAAAAGTCCTGCGACACTTTGATTGAATTGTTCTAGAAAAAGACCAAAAATCATTTTGGATGTTTTTATCCCTGATTAGTGGAGTGTGTCCCCTGGGGTTTCTGCACATGGGTATATCATGACTTTGTGGAAGTTTTCAAAGCTTAAAGTCCCGCAGCAGATCGAGGTACTTTTCGACCTATCCCATATTATGAGTTCCTGTAGGGCAACTCCGCCGTAGTCGAGGAAGCTAACACTTACGTTGTCTTGAGGAAGGAGATCGCTTGCCATGGCAAAGGGTAGCTGTTGCATCAGCGCTTCCAGGCTGGACTTATTTAACTCGTAGTTAGGCAATGTGTAGGTCGCCCACCAGCACAGAATGACGACCCTTTACTCAAGCTTCTTGAGCCGCAGCCGAAGGTAACCACCAGTAAGTTGGCAACCTCTCTAGGCTCCACCTGCCTGACAACTTCCGTGCTTCTCCGCAATTCTTGTTATCGGAAAAATTCTATGTGAAGGATGCCTCATGAGTTGGACCCGTCTGACAAGTCATACCGAATGACCGCATGTGGGAATCAGGCCACGTCAAAAAATCATGAATTTTGATCAGAGAATGCGACCGTACCCAGGTTATTCAGCAAAGTTAGCGGCCTCTAATTATCACCTCTTTTGGTCCCTATTGCATCCTTTGAAGAGCAAAAAGCCCGAAAATCGACCTCAACTCGAGAATGAGGTCCACCTCTTCTTTTTATCACAGTTGCCGTAGTTCTATGAGAATGGAAATGAGAAGCTGTGCAAAAGAAGGGGACTAGTCCTAGTCATCAACTATGGTTACCTTGTGGATTGGAGATGTCTTTGGGTGACAGAAAATTTAGTGCGAAAAATTTGGTCCAAAGTGTCGCAGGACTTTTCGAACAACCTAATATAAGGCAGCGTAAGCCGCGACCATCTTGCATTTCTGAGGAATGTTGGATTTGATCATCCCCAACTTCACATTATATATGAAAATATACTTTATTAACAAAAAGTACAGAACAATGTCTCATTGACGATGCAGATCGGATATTTTCTACTTCATGACTTTCTTCATCCAACTGAAATCACCATTTCAAATGATAGATGTAGGTTTTGCACATAGTACTTTCATACTAACGTACTACTTCTCATACTAACTGTTTCGGTAATTTGCTATTTCCACATGTTTCTCAGGCTGTTCAAGTGATGGTAGAACGGGAGCTAAAGCCGCGTGATGAAGTATAGCTGCGACCTGGAAAAGCGGATATTTTTCGTGCACTTCAGCTGATTTTTTTTTTTTTTTGCTTTCGGCAGAGTTATCCTGGTCTATTTCGTCGGTAGAAACGTGCCGTTCGACTGCACTTCAAGAAAAACCCCAACACTCTTGAACTTATGATCCCTGGCGTATTCCAGGTTTTCTGGGGGACCGCATATGTTAGGTACAGAAGCAACTATGAAGTTCCACACACGGGAAGGTGGAAAGGGTAAGGGAATCCGAACCCACCCAAGATAAACAAGTTTGCCCCACCTCGCTGTGGAGTCAGTAACACCCATGTCTAACAATAAGAAGGTAAACATTAACTAGATTTCAGCCACTGAGCCAGTCAAGCATTCTGTATTTATCAAGCTTCTAAATCGTTTTTGTAGATTGCGACGGCACAGAATCGCGTTGAGGGGGGATATATCAGCTCTCCTGGGAGAGAAGAAGCGAATACTTAATGCGATTACGAGGTGACAAATCGTTGAATATCCCGGAGATGGAGAAGGCGTGGCCGCGACATATCTCATTGGAGCATGGCCCAAATGCGTTCCTAGAGCATTTCGTGTAATATTCCCATTTAAGACTACAGTCATACTGTCTCGTGCTGGTGCGAGGCATGATCACAACTGTCTAATGACGGCAATATCCGACCAAAAGCGCAGCCACAGCTGCGTCCAAATGAAGTGCGCAGCCACGCCCTCTCCATCTTTGGGATATGAAGAATAGATTGGGCACAACTTTGGAGAGCTATTTTCGACCCTAACGTCGAACTATGAAATGTTGATCATATCTTTCTGTCATCACAGCGAATTTCCAGCCCGAATCGGATCAAAACTTAACAAGTGTCTTGTATTGTATATACCAACGTACCTGGTCACCCTTCCAATAAAGCGCATGATGACCGTCCCGCATTTTACCCACAGGTACATAGCCCTCTTGTTCTTGGTGATCCTTCCGCGGAGGCATGGCAAACGGTGATGGGGTCTCTTAAATGAACAAACCATTACTTTTCAAGGAGAGTAAGTACTGTTTTTTGATTACGATGCTGCTCTAGATTATCACAGAGAATCTTCACTGGATAGAGGCACTACAGATGATCACCGTTCGAAGGCCCAAGTCACCGCATTTAGTCACACGCTCTCTCCAGGAACCTCAGAGGCCGTGATCGGCACCATCTCCTACCACCTTCCGCCAAACGCCTTTATTTGCAGAAAACGACAGTAACGAGCATTCGACCGCCATTTTCGCTCAGTAGTCCTAACCAGTAAGTGGTTAATTTAGGCAAACT